TCTCTTCATTTCTCTCTCTCCCATGAGGCTGCTCTGCACTCCTTTTTCTGCCCTCTGGCCCCTCCCATTAATAAAACTCTCCACATGAGCGCTGTCTGCATGGCATGTCTCTCTCTCACTCACTGTGGGGCCCCTTGAATCCAACCCACCAAGGTGTGTCTCTCCTGCTGTTTTAAAAATACAACATTTGGTGCTGTGACTGGGATTTGAGCTGAGGTTGCTGCAGCCACAATGCAGATTACTAACCACTATACAGTCATGTCCAGCCATATTTCTCAGATTTCTGATGCCGTTCGATGACCAGGCTCTGTCAGTTCAACAGCAGCAAATAAGGCTTCAGCTGCATTCCCAGTTCTCTGTGAAATTCACAGGCCTCACTCTCTTAGAGCTAATACTAGGTCTAGACACAACTCATTTTGCAGTGGCTGCCCTCAGTGGTCAGCCACCTATATCTCTTGGTGAATTAGTTTATCTTTAAAGTTTATTTATGTAAAGATAGGAAAGCTGTCTCACCTCTGCTCTTTACTTACTCTTCTCAGATCTGATGGTGTTTGTTGACCAGGGTATTAATAGATTTGCCAGTTTTACAACTTTTCCCCCAACCCCAAGGCTACAAACACCTTGGTAGCTCATTAATAAGTTTCCTGTTAAAAGTACAGGTAGGTGTGCCTCATTCACAGACTTCATTGTGAATTTCTAGCCCTTTGCTATGGCACCAAGATATAAATCTATTCCAGTTGTTTCACAGACACCTGCAGGTTCCTGCACAGGTCCACCACTCCTGCCAGACTCATGCCAAGGTCAAACCTGCAGGGGCCTTCCAGATACACCAGTCCGTGTACCAGCTCTGAGGATTTCAACTGGGCAAATACTGGCAGGTTTACTTCACCAACATACCTACTTAAAAAAACTCTGATATTGCCTAGCTTGTTGAACTTTTACAGGATGGATAGAGAGAGGCATTTCTCACCTCCAGAGAAACAGCAGATGTGATGGCTCAGGTACTCCTGATTAACACATCATCCCTCAATTTGGCATACCATCCCCCAAGCTCCTAGGACCTCACTGCTGGTACCACTTCTCCAGGCTCAAGTGGGCACCTGCCTGGCAACTGGAACCTGGTTTTCCAAGATGTCCCAATGAAGGGCATATCTGCTTTTATGTCTCGCTCATTCACACTTGCCTCATCTGTACAACCAGGGCACTCTTCCATTCCATTCTTTCTGGCAGTTACCACTCTTCCCATGGCTAGCACCACGCAAGGGGCTGATGATAACAATCTATATTTTCTCGTAGCAACCTGCCTTCTCAGCTCAGCAAGGATCAAATGCCTGATGTCTCCATGATGACAGCTAACCAAATGATTATTTACTCACACTTCCTGCTGTGTGTGACCCTGACTCCCAACTTCCTCCTCCCCACTTCATCCCAAGTCAGCAGGAATTCAGCACCCTCATTTCTACCCCACTTGTTACCCATAACTAACTTTTTTTATAATGAACAAAAGGGAAGACAATTAGCATCCAGGCCCACCCCTTGGGAACCTGGCCAACAATCAGGCAATACCATGGGCCACTCAGGTTCCTGCAAGGTGGTCCTACATAGCCTGTATCATTATGTCCCTTCAAAAGGTGTGGTCCTGCCTGCCTTCTCTTTCTTCTTCCCTTCATAGCCCCCACCCACTCTTTCTTCTCTCTCTCTCTCTCTCTCTCTCTCTCTCTCTCTCTCTCTCTCTCTCCCATGAGGCCCCTCTGCACTCCCTCTCCCCTCTCTCTTCCCATACCACTAATAAAACTCTTCACATGAGTGCTGCCTGCATGGCATGTCTCTCCCTCCCTCACTGTGAGGCCCCACGACTCCAATCCATCAAGGTAGGTCTCTGGCCATCTTTAAAATACAACATCGGTTACTATAATGAACACAATGATGAAAAGTGAACTGGGGAGGGAAGGGTTTATTTCATCTTACAACTCCCAGTCACAAACTAACATGGAAGGAAATCAGAAAATGAGCTGGAGACAGAAACATGGAGGGGTGAACTGAAGCAGAGGCCTTGGGGAAAAGCTGCTCACTGGCTTGTTCTGAATGGCTTTCTCAGCTTGCTTCCTTCTACAGCCCATGGCTTCAGCTCCAGGCTAACAGGTGGCTCTGATGCATGTCAGAATGGTGAGATCTCTTGTTGGCACACAAGTTCTTTCTTTGCCAGTGCCAGGGTGCCAGGCTTTTTCTTCTCCCAGTATGAGATGCCTGTGGAAATTTCAGTTTCTTTAGATCCATTATTTCAGCAGTCTGAGGGCCAAAGAAGGGACACACCTGTCTCTTTAGAATACTTTGATTTCTGCCAGGAATCTCGTGCTGGGAAAAGAAAAGGGCTGATGGCTGGTACCATCCAGGGGACTTGGGTTCTTGGAAAGAGACTTAACGCTATCCTGACACCCTTTTCAGGTGAGAACAGAGCCCAGGGGAGGGTGATGGAGGGAACCATACCTTGATCAGATTTTTGTGGGTATTTGGGGTAGTTTAATTTTTTGGGGATATCTCGTTTCTCTGTCTTTGGTTCACACTCTCCTACTCAGTTTTTCCTGTCCCTACTTTATCACCTCCCTTTGCTCTTTCATTTATTCATCTACTCAGTGAGAGATGTGTAGCAGGTCTGGTGTTTTGTCTGGCAACAGAGGAATGAACAATGTGTCCTTCCCCAGTTCTGCCAAGAGGCAGTGACTGATTACCAAGCAAAGCGCTCCCTGGCATTGGCTGTGGTAATGAATGCTGCTGATTGAGTTCCTGATGGTTTGCCAAAACCACCCACTTTTCTTCAGCCCCCCTGACAACCCCTTCTTCTACACTTTTGTAACTTGTTCCCAGCTCCG